GGGGGGGGGGGCGGGGGGGGGGGGGTGGCACCCCCCGCCTGCCTCCCCCCCCCCAGGTCCCCGCCTGCCTCCCCCCAGGTCCCCCTGTGAACCGCCGGGGCTTGCTCGGGAGCGTGTTTAGCCTAAGGCTTCCTCTCAGCCTTGGAACCGGCGGTGCGAGCCCCCGCACACCGGGATTGCGGCGAGGAGGGGCTGCAGGAGGCGCAGAGGGGTCGTACCTCGGGCAGGGAAGGGGCACTCGGTGTATCAGAGGGGCACGATGCAGTAAGTAGGTTTTGCAGGTGTGAGGAGCAGTGGTGTTCAGCTGTAGCCTGGCTCTCGGGACACGCTGCTCTAACTTAATGCTCACTTCCTTAAAAAATAATTAAAATGCTGTCTGAAGCATGACAGAGAGCTGAAACGGCCTGCAGGGCAGCAGTGGGCATGCAGCTGTCACTGCCGCAGCTGGTGCGCGTGGCGTGATGTTAGAGTGTGCACCAGGGTTGTCAGTGTGGTCTGGGGGTGACACCAAACACCGAAATCCCAGGCACTGCCAAACAACACCCTGAGCAGCCTGCACGGGCTGTGCCGAGGGCTGTCAGCGCGTCCTTGGATGAAACAAAGCAAGACTAGTTTCCTCCGTGGCTGCTTTGAAACTAAAATTTATTTTTGAAGGAGCAGGTGACCACTAAGGAGTTGGTGGTGTGTCTGCTGACCTTCCTCTCCTCTCTGAAATAATGTTTCTCAGCAAAGTCTGGTAGAACGCAGCACCCATCTCTCCTGACCTCGTGGGGAGTCTCTAAAAATGGGTGCAGTAATCTGTAGTTCAGGCAAATTCTCTGTGCTCAGACACGCTTCGTTGCCTACAGAGGAGAGCGATGTGCCTCTCGATGGCTGTCAGCTCCCTTTCAGCACAGCTTGGAGACTGCTAACCACTTCTGTACCTCAGGAAGTGAATTGCTCTATCAAGCTGACACTTCAAAGATTAACTTGTAGGCAGCACCACTGACTAAAAAGGCAGCAGAGTGAAGCAGTGTCTTACAGGGGCTCTCTTCTCAATTGCCAAAGTTTGGTTTTGTTTTTTTTTTCACCAAATATAGATAATCCCAAGCTGTCTGGAGGGGGCATAAAAATTTGTTCTGAATTGTCTTGAAGGACAAGCAAATAAAGGCTTTTAAGCACACCCTACCTCTTAGAGAAACAAAAGCTGTGCACTGTAGTGCTGCAAGACTTCAGTCTCTCCCATTTGAAATTTGTTTGGCTGAGTAAGGAGCAGGTGGTACTGACCCCGCAGAGAACACGCTGTGTGGCCATCTAAACCATTTACAGCTTCCCGGTGTGTTCTGGGAGAAGCAGGAGCTGCTCTCCCTTCACTGTGCAAATATTTGTTGGTTTTTTTCTCAGTCACCCTGGGTAAGTTAGTCAGGTTGAAATGGGAGTTGAATTTTCAGCCTCCTGGAAATGCTGTGGGAGCTGCACGTGTCCCTCTGGGTGGACAAGGGCATGCAGAGGGTGACCAAGGGTGTATCAGTGTATGGATGTTTTCCATGCTGAAGCAGGCTTTCCCATTGGAAAGGCAGGTGTGAGCGGCTTCATCTGGCTCCTAGCACTGAGGACAAAGTACCTTCTATCATCCTAAAGCCTCTAGGTGCAGTCTGGGGCTAATTAAAGTCATTTAGGTCACCCGGCCTCAAGAAGAAGGGCTTTGTTAGTTATAACCTTGGTTGAGTTCTGCTAATTGAATTGATAACGCTTTTTACAGAGCTCCTCCCCTGCCTCCAGATCCTGCAGAAGATGGTGAGTCCTCTGAAGAAGAGCAAACGTGATCTGACCCCAACTGGTGATAAACCACATTATTTGTATAGTTTTTTACAGTGTGTTATGGCTTATGTTCAGCTCATTCAACAACAACATTAGTTGTACAGAACTAAAAGTGTGTTTGAGAGGCTGCAAGAGCACTTTTGCAACATTATGGTGAAATTAATATATACTTTTAAAGTTTAGCATTCAGTGTAAATCACTGTTTTAGTTTTTACCTTGGTTTCCTTGAGTTCCTCAGTGACTCCTCTGTACCATGCAGCTTATATCTTCCCTTTGCCTTGCCCAAGACTTGGATGATTGTGCTTGTTCTGTTTTTAAAAAATAGCTTTCTAAATACACTGAAACATGAAAAGACATCCCTGTTGTGTCTTTATTGAAGTAAAAGCTGTTAATGAGGAACTGTTTGTCCAAAGGTGGGAAAGCTGGCTTTGGAAAGACACGGGTGAGGTGGAAGGGCAGCTGCCACTTGCTGCAATTTAGAGGTGAATCTTTTAACCTAATTAATCAACCCCCTGAAGGCCTGGGGAGCGATAAACTGCTTAAAAATCAATAAAACTTGTTACCGTGAAGGGCTGTCACACAACTTTTGGGGGGTAATTTATGTGAAAGGTTGAGCGGGGTCTTGTGGAAGAGCAGCAGTGGGTCTTGCTCCCAGGGGTTCTGCTGTAGCTCTTCCTGAGGAGCACCACCAAGGCCCAGAGCAGAGGGGAGCTGATGAAAAGGGGAGTGTTCCCAGGGGGGGAGAATTGAGCTGCAGTCAATCAGCCTGGGATATTTATCCTGGGGAAGGTGGGGATCACTGTCTAAAAGCCTCTTGTTAAAAATCCTACGAATAAAAGGGAAGGTTGTTACAGAAAAGCATTTAAAGCTGTTTGAATGCGAAGTAGCAAGTGAAGGTTTCTCTGCAGTAGAAATTTTTAAAGAGATGTAAACTAAGGGCAAAAAGCTTGTGATGATGTGCTGTAAAAACTACAGCCTACTCTGCTGCGATGTCACAATAAATAACAAAAAAACTTGCTTTCTGATTGTTTTTTAGCAAGCGGAGGATAACAACTGAGCAGGCAGGTCTGCCAGTAGCTGCACGAGATGTTCTCTGCGTTCCCTGTTGGGAACAGTCAGTACCTGTGTCCAGCAGGAAAGGACTCAGCCCCGTGCTCCCGCAGCAGGTATTTTCCTTCTTGGTGCAGAGCAGCAGGAAAGTCTTTGTGACTGCAGTACCTTGGTTAGTTATCTCAGCCTTTCTGGCAAAGGGCAGGCTCTCAGCCTGCAGAAATGCTCTCCTCACCCTTCGTTAGCCAGAGTGCAGCGCTCCTGGTGCAGCAAAGGGCTCGTTAAGGTTGTTGGGATGCTCAGGCTTAATGAGAGCTGGGGTGGGCATTCCCCAGGGGGAGTCACAGCCACGGCAGAGAGAGGCAGGTTCTGCTTCAGGTCCCGTGGTTATGGAGGCCCCATGGGTGGCTCTTTCCTTTCCCATTTGACCCATCAAATGAGCTGTAGTCCTTGATCACGCTTTCTCCTCTGAAGCTGCCTGGGAGCCTGCAAAAAATGCTGGGCTTTTTTCAGATCTGCATATCACCAGCATCAACTCCTGTGCTCATCGTGCTCAGCAGCCACCAGCTGGGGAAGGGAGAAGGTCCGAGAGCTGCTCTTGACAAACCAAGGCTGCTCTCCCAGGCCCGTGGTCGAGCACTGGTGGAGACCTGAACAAACAGGCTCTGGATTGCTCCCACCTTAAAAAGTTTAAATCTGATGGAGCTGCAGCGGAAGGGCAGGATGAGAAGAGCACACACAAAGGAAGCTCAGCATCAAATAGTTGCCTGTGAGGTACACCCTGCCATAAAATTTCACAAAAGAGCAAAACTCAGTACTAAGGAGCAGCTGAAGCTGCTTTTGCTTCTAATAAATACATATGCTCACTCTGCACGGGCAAAAGAAAATCCTAAAGTTTACGTCAGGAACTGCAGGCTGAAAGCTACGGCCCAAATTTTTTTCATGGAACAGCAGTTTCTGGACAAAATGCAGGAAAAGGTGTTTGCTCAGGTGTGTTCCTATCCTGGTGGATAGGAATCTTCAGCGTGGAGCGGGGCTGCTGCGCTCTGGCGGGGACAGGTACGGCCGGTTGAGCTCCCACTGAGCCCTGCTGGCAGCCCTCGGAGGGGGAGCAGGAACAGCACCCAGCTCCTCTGGAAATGAGGGGAAAACAGTGAGGAGGGAGACAGTGCTAAAGCAAAAGAGCTCCAGACAACTAGAAATAAAATTTATAGATAAGACCCCAAAAACTTGAAGAAGGTTTCCATATCCAAAAACCTCATCTATTTGATTTTTTTCACGGAATGATCTGGGGTTGGAAGGGACCTCTGGAGATCATCTAGTCCAACCCCCTGCCAGAGCAGGGCCACCCAGAGCAGGTTGCACAGGAACGTGTCCAGGTGGGGTTTGAAAGTCTCCAGAGAAGGAGACTCCACCACCTCCCTGGGCAGCCTCTTCCAGGGCTCTGCCCCCCTCAAAGTGAAGAAGTTCCTCCTCATGTTTAGGTGGTGCTTCTTACATTAAAAAGTATTCCCATTTCCTCTTGTCCTGTCCCTGGGCACCACTGAAAAAAGACCAGCCCCGTCCTCCTGACACCCACCCTTTAAGTATTTCTAAGCATTGATAAGATCCCCCGTCAGCCTTCTCTTCTCCAGACTAAAGAGACCCAAGTCCCTCAGCCTCTCCTCGTAAGAGAGATGCTCCAGGCCCCTCATCATCTCTGTAGCCCTCTGCTGTCCCCTCTCCAGCAGTTCCCTGTCCTTCTGGAACTGGGGAGCCCAGAACTGGTCCCAGTGCTCCAGATGGGGCCTCCCCAGGGCAGAGCAGAGGGGCAGGATGACCTCCCTCCACCTGCTGCTCACATTCTCCCTGATGCCCCCGAGGATGCCATTGGCCTTCTTGCTGGTGCTCTAATCAGAAAGATTCTCCTTAAAACAGCCCTGCGTGGGTGCCACCTCAAATATATTGCTGAACAATTTACATCTATGGCTCCAAAGGCTTTAGTCCAGCAATATAATTAATAGCAGAGTTTCTTGGGGTAAAGCAGGGTCTCACGGGGTGTTGAAGATGAGCTCAAGACAAGGGTGAGGGGCTTCACGGCCGCTCTCGGTGCGGCGTTACACCGTGTGACACAGGTTTGCCCCCATGCCGTGGGATTTCCAGAGTCTTGGGGCAGGGGGTACGGTCTGGAGAAACTCTTCAGGGGAGCAATCAGCTGGAAATCCAGCCGGTTGTTATTACTGTCGCTACTACAAAGTAGT